CCTTTAGCAATGAAATCCTTAGCAATGAATCGGAATTGATTGGACCGCTAAACTCTCGAGTTTCGACAAAAAGTAAAAGCCTAAAGATGTTTGCCAGTGAGAAATGATAAGAGCCATCAACAGACGGATATGAAAGCCGCTCAGCGGAAGTACTAGGATGAAGGACATTTCAGTATGATCTCTGTTACCATCGTAACTCCTCCAACCGCTAAGCTTTCCTACTTCTAGCGGGATGGTGAGTGTTTTAAAAGCAAGATAAGCACCAGATTGGCCAATGTTCATGAAAGAGGTGAAATAAGATGAAATGGGCTGTACTTGAAAACACAGGAATCAGGCCAAGTGTTAGGGAGCACAGGAATACTGTCAGTGATCAGTACCATAGATTTAACCATGCGCGCAGTAGTGCGCGTCAGCCAAACTGGTATTTAATATGCTCTTTAATATGGTGGTAGAAATGTCCGATTAGAATTTATAAAGTGTAACTTATAGCGCCTCGAAAGTCAATGAAGAAAAGTGACTTTTTTTGCCCCCCCCCTGTATGATCCGCTATGTCTGTCTGTCTGTGTGTGTCTGTCACGAAATTCATAGCGACCGTCCCAGTAGCTGTTGGAATTTGAGTGATATAGGGGCTGTGACGAGAACATTATTGGTGGGTGGCAGGAAGTGATATCATCTGGTAAGATCTGATAAGAGGCGTCAGAAGGGGAGGACCAACAAGTTCATAGCGCGGATCCCATCAACACTGGGACGTTAGTTCCAAGATATGATATAGCGTATGGGGCAAGAACATCAGTGACGGGTGACAAGAGCTGCTAGCAGTTTTTAGGATTCAATAAGGGACGTCAGAAATGAAATGCCATCTTGTTCATAACGCGCATCAGCGCACAGCATCAGATAAGCGTTGGTTCCATTGAGTAATATAGACTGTGAAATAGGGATATTGACGGTGAGTGACATAAAGGGATAACAGCTGATAAGACCTGATTAAAAGCATCAAAATACGGATGCTATCAATGTCATAACAAGCGTCTTAGCTACAATCAGGACGTCATGCCGACAGGTGATGTAGACGATTAAATGGGGACAATGGTAGTAGGTGACCGGAATTGATTGCGGCTAAAAAAGCTGGTGAAGAATTGTGAGAGAGGAGGGTCCTACTTTTTTCACGCGCCGAGTGGCTTTGCCAAAGGCGCGCGTTTTGGGCTGCTTACGTTCATTTTTCTATTGAATGATTCTTGTCAAAATTTCATCCCGAAGTTTGCATTCTGCAGGCTTATATTAGGGTGTCCACAAAGTTCGTTGGCCATTTGTAAACAGCGTCGCGTTAAGCAACGCGTTGTGATTTTGCATAGAGATTTCGCAATACTGAAAGTACTCGCGATGGGCTATCTTCTGAGCTAGCTAAGCTCTGAATTTCCTTTCCTGCTCTTCCCACAATAAAGCAGTGAAGATGAGTGATAGTCACCACCACCGCCGATGTTTGCTGACTACTACAGACCTGGCGTCTCCAGAGCGATCAAGGGCCACGACCAGGATGCGTTCGCAGTTTGTGATAACACCCAGTTCTAAGATGGGATGTCAAAGTGGTCGACCTTCGGTCCACCAGATGAAAATCCGCGACTGCGCATCGAAAAATATGCCAGGAGGTTTCGTGTTCTCTCGCCACGGCGTCGTCCACTACAGCATCCTAACAATGCCACAGTGACGGCAGAGACCCTCTCTAAAGAATTGCAGGAGGTCAAGGTGAAAGCTGCCCGCAATATCCGCAGGACCAACCTTGGCAATTACCGTGGTTGCCCTCTGACGACAACGCTGGCCGCGCGACAATAGCGAAGGATACTCAGTGCCGTCTGTGACAGGCTGGCATCAAGAACGATCACGCAATCCTACCGTATAAACCCGGACATTAGTCCATGCGACTTATTATGCATCAGCAGTCTGTCCGGTCATAGCAAAATTTCTTGGGGACGGAAAACAGCTGAAGAACGAGCGCGACCTCGAGGACGTGATCGAGGACTGGGCCGAGTTGCGGCCGGCCGGCTTTTGGGAGGATGGAGTTGCCTCTCTACCCGATCGTTGGCGAAAGGTAGTGGGTATGCATGGAGATTATATCATGGACCGGTAAGTTCAACTTGGTGAGATATCTTTACCAGCTCTGAAAAAACGAATGGCCAACGAACTTTGTGGACACCATAATAGCTGATGAATAAGAGTTTTTCTACATGCTGCGTAGTGTTCATAAGCTGCCAAGGTGCTATACAAGCTGTTATCGACTCTGGTCAAGCTGTGCTGTACTCAAATATTTCCATTCATAAAACTGCCGTTACAGATTGGGAAAATCATCTGGGTTTTCCGTTTATTATGTGCGAAAAACAACTGGTTCAAGTTAATTAAATACGTGATCTTGGCATTGTTTACAATGATGCTCTGGACTTCTATCTATGTTAACCCGATCTATCAGCTAGAGCAAGTGCAAGGGTCGGCCATGGATCTTTAACCCCATGAACACATCGCGTGAATAGACATTACAAAGAAGTTTTACCACCATTCACTTGAGGAAGAGCTCTAATAATTAAGTGGTGAAGGCAGTCACAACTCTGTGATCCTCAACGTTTGTCGAGGAAGGCGTAAAGTTACTGGGCTTTGAGTGACAATGTTCAAAATACAAGAAATAGCAAATGGAGTTAATAAAAGCTAGAACGAAAGCAGGCAATTCACAGTCAGGTGGCTGAACAATGATAATGGTAATGACAACGTGAAGTTCTTAGGCTTTTTTTGGTCCAGGCGTAATTTTGAGGTTTATCTTTTGCCATTCTTCTTGACGGTCCTTAACTGGAACCTTCAGCATATTGTCAATATCAGCGGTGTAGAAGGCAATATCAGTGTGTGCCTGAAAGGGAGGGCCTTTATTTGCAGTCATCACACTAGCTTTACGTTCAACTTCTACCTGTACTCCTGAGCTCAGTCCCGTGACCAAATCAGTGCAAGGTGTTCCACGAGAGACAACTCCAATCAAATAGTGCCTTCCATTATGTGATGCAGTAACTCCAGCTCCACTGTTTCCCTTAACATGTAGGAATTGCTAAGCAGTCACTGGCTGTTTCAACGCTGATTCCTTATAAAAACAATATTCATAAGAAATCAGGGAGCTAACAACTTCGTAGTAATATATTACTTTTTCTTTTGGTTTATCTCTCTCGACTCTCTGATCGTGATTTATCTCTCTCGTCTTTCTGATCGTTCCCGTTGTAAAGAGAAATTGTAGGCTTGAAATCAATTCGAAAAACTCAGAAAGTTGAATATCAAATTGAAAAGGAAATGAATTCGAGGTCTAAGGATTCAGCAGTGATGCTGAGTTTACAAATTCAAAACTGAGAGGTGAAAACCTAGTTAATGACAAGGGCGTATAACGTGAGGAGGTAAAGCATCCAGAGCATCGATGCACCCTATCCTTATGGGCTTTTAACGTAGATTGGTGGAAGTTGGGAGGGTCCTTCTGGAGTGCCCTGTGCTGAGATTTTTCTCGATTTCGCACGATCCCACCGCAATGTGTGGGATTCACTCAAAGACCCACTCATCTCCTTGCCATGTATCAAGTAAACGGGCCTGCAGCTGCAGTAAGGGCCATTTTTCAGGTTAAAAGTACACGTGGGACCTGCACAGTACTGATACCCGGGTGCCGTCTCCATACTCCTTCCGTGAGGCATCACGGCTAGCCATAGCCGACCGCTACTTGACTGCGCCCTCTCACTTTTGGATTTTCTGTACTGCGTGTGATGTTTCGCTGCGAGGCCTTGGTATCGACGCAAGCGCTGCTCATTGGGAATAGCGCGGCCGGAGCATAAAGACGGCACTCAGGCATCACGGACCTCTTCCCAGTTTCGTGCGTTCTTCTCGTGCGCATTCTAGCGAAAGTGGCGTGCTACTGCATCTGCGACTCATTCATCTTGCACATGACAAGGACCAGGAGATCAATTTTTCAAGGCGGAGTCCTCTGCGATTCTGGGCCTCGAATGAGCACTCCAAATCGTGTCGCATAGACCCGAAAACACTTGGGAAATTCACAGGGAGCAGAGGCCGATGATCTGTAAGTAAGGAAGCCGCGTCAGTTGAACATTCTCACAATTATTCGGAGATTCAGACTCCAGCGATTTACACTTACATTATAGAAAGCCTAAGACGAGCTGGAAGTTTCATCTACTTTGCAGGGATTAGCCTCGAACAAGAGTATTGACAGAGGTGTTTTTCATTCTGATGAAATAAACGCTATCAGAGAAGGATGAAAGTAAAGCTACCAGTAGTGTATTGCATATCTCCTCTTTCAGCATTTGGAACTACGAGAGGTCAAGGTACCTTTACAACTATTGTGGATCCCTTCTACGGAATCTGTGCGAGTACCCAAATGTAACTGTTTACCTGACAAACGGTTTTGTCCGATGGTTCCAGTGTACAGAACATATCTGGCCACAAAAATGTTTTCTTTTTGCACTCTTCATTAGTCATCCTTAATCCTAAACCTCAAAGATTATTGACAAAGCAATTTGCCAGAACATCTGTGAAAAATAATGCTTTTGACTATAATAGTGAGCAGCATATGTGTTACACTCCCCTCCCTTAGCTTCAGACGAGGAGAATTTCAGACGAGGTAGACTAGTAAAGCAAAACGACAGTGGGCCACGTCGACGTTTGCACCAGGGCATATCGTGCGTTTGGGATTTCGGTCGTGTCCGTACCACTCCCACCCCTCCTCAAAAGGGGCTCAGTAAGACCCTCTTTCTATATCTGGTTTTTTTTCGCCATTTTGCTGCATTTTTTCGAAACATACGTTGGAGAAAGTGAAGGTCAAGCTAAGAGTTTTCCTTGGCTTCTTAGCGTTTCCAGCCCGCCGTCCAACTAAAGAAACTGTACGAATGAAGCCCAAAACACTTTGTAGGTACGCAGGAGAAGATTCCAGCGAGACTGCTCCCTTCATTTACAGAAGGAGTTCAGCTCAAGTGAAACCCTCCGGTGCTCCGATACACTTCCATAAGAAACCATATGGCCCAGACTTGAAGACAATTCTCACAATCAAGTATCACGAGTAGAAGGCATTCAATTATGAACCAGCAGCAGCATAAGTGACTTCCTAGTAGAGGAAGAAGCAAAGAATGCATTGAGATCACTTTGAACAAAGCTGGCTAGGGAAAGTTTGAAAAATGAATGTAGTACCCAAATCTGTGAGCTGCTGAATTGGAGCTGCAGATCGAATGGTGCCATGAAGAGCTAAAAAGTTGAAATTGAATCAACAATGATTTAACCAAAGTAATTAGAGGAG